TACAGGGAATGGTGCTCACAAAAATGAAAAAAATCAAGAGAAAACATTCTTTTCAAATTCTTTTCGACTGGCTATGTTTGTAAAGTTATAGAATATTTCGTTTTTCCTATTTTATAATTTCTGTCTAAATTTTATGAGATTATATTTACCGCGTCCAGATTTTATCTACAGTTAATTATATGTCACTTTATCAAGATTCACTTCGAAACAAGGAATAAACGTCATGATAAGTGATGAAAATGGTAATATTTAAATCCAAGACTAAGAAGGTAGAGTACAAAGAAGTATTGCAAGACATTAATTATTCAATTCGAAATTGTTCATTTTTTGTTTTTTTTTTTTGAATTTTTTAACAATCCTCTTCGCGTTAACTAAATTACCGCCGTATTCATTTACTAAAATATTATTGATGTTTGTGTTTTATATTTTTAAATAAATTTATTATACACTAAATAATTAACATTTTAGAAAAATACAAAATCTATAAAAATATTAATATTCTTTTGCTTCGTTTGTGTTGTAATCTCTATATGTATATGTCCTCCCCGTCCATCGGACGGGTCTAACACCTAGTTAATAAAATACTAGTCCAGTTTTCAGTATTGTAGAGGTCTCTACGGTGTATAGATTTATTCCAACAATATTATACTTACTCATGATCACAACTATTTTGAACGATTATTTCATTAAACGCCTATTCATCAATCTTCTAAAGTGTGCATATTCTAAAGCGAAGATACAATGAGAATAATATATACAACCACATGTTGAAATTGAAATAAAAAAATATTAATTCTATTGAAATAATTGTCCAATAAATTACACTGTCTTAGTATAATACATACACAATTCTTTGGGGGGAATGAGGAGTACTTATATTTCACAGTGACAATAACGCATGAATATGGATTGCATGATCCCGTTATTTGGGAATAGTTTTTTTTAATTGAGAGAACTCATACAATGAAAGCCTAGCTACCTAGCGGGCAGGGTGGACAATATGTATAGTACTTGAGAATTTTGAGGTCAACGTGTAGTCATGCTTTGATTATAAGTATATATATATATATATATATATATATATATATATATGACTACACGGGAGGATAAAGTTTGTGTGCTCATTTCATTTCAGTCTTTAATTAAATGCTCCAAACTTCCTACATGCACCATGGGAGTAATCAAATAAATAAATGTTTGTACTTTGTGTTTTTTTAATCACGACTTTAGTACTAGTACTTCTGATAAGATACTAACAAGAGTAACATGCCTACTAGTAGCTAGGGTAAGTACATGTCATGATATTCAGTAGGAATGATCAACATTTTATTATTTCATCCGTTTCACTTTGATATTCCAGCTTATTACATTGTATACGGACCATTATCGAATAATGTTTAATTTAAGGTTTCGGAAATTAAATAATCTTCAATTTCATAAAAGATAATCAATTTCGCTATACATTTGGAAGCGAACAAATATATGTACTGTTGGTGACAAAAACTACCGAAGAATTATTGTTCAATTGCCATTTATCTTGCCTTCCCCCCTTCTTTCACGTACTGGTTCCTTTTTATTTCCCGATGTATCTATCACCTCATTTGCAACATGCAATATATATATTGGCCAACTTGTCGAAAACAGGAAAACCTGAAAGTAGTCCAAATAACATCGTTTTCAAAGTAATGCACCTAAGAGAGAGACATCGACTTTACTACAATGGTTATTTTGAGAAAATAATACTACTACATTCTTGCTATTTTGAGATAGTTTGGCATCATTAACACTTTTAAATATTCTTTCGGTCTCATTTTTAATCTGTACTCTAATTTTTTAATTAAAACTAAAAATACAAACGTGATTAATTACCAACAAAAGAAAAAACTAGAAATCCCTTTTTTGAAAAAGAGGAAAAAAATCTGTAATTTTCCATCCATGAATTATAATAAAGGAAGGCTAAAATAAGGCTAAAATAACTAGTACTCTCTTATCCTTATTATAAGATATTTTGAGTATGTCTTTTTAATTGAAATTTTTTTAAATCATTTTATAATAATTAGGAATGCAAATAAAAATACACTTTTAAGATTTTATTTTTAATTAAAAAAATCATATTAAATTAAATTTAAAATAAATAAAAATACCTTATAATAAAGAACAGAGGGAGTATCTACTAAACCATTTTGAAACGAAATAGGATTACGTCGTGTTATGCACTCACACGATGAAATTAATGATGGGGTTAACTTTGAGAAATCAAGATGTGTGATGCATGAAAGAAAGAAGGTGGAGAAGAAGGAGGAGGAGTTTGGTCCTGAAATTTAGAAAGAATGCATCATAAATCACAACCAGACCATAACTTCAGTGTCTCCGTCAAAATACGTATACGTACGATGTCGAGTTTCCTCACAATCATCTCTTCGTATAATACAACTCTCAAGTGTTTCTTTTTTTTTTTATCCTCTTTTTTCCTATTCGTAGAAACAAGAAAAAAAATTAAACATAATAAATGTATAGTCCTGCGCACGCAACAACATCTTCCATATATTTCGTGAGCCGATATGGATTCAGTCATCAATAACGATTTAACTTGAATTGTAAAACCAATTCCCTTCCATCTTAGTAGTTTCTACTTTCTAACAGAATACAGTAGGTGGCTGTAATTGGCCGGGTATGAAAGTAAGTAGTAGGAGTACAAAAATACAGAAACAAAAGGGGAGGAGGGAGGGGAGGGAGGGGGAGGTGACAATGAAGTGAAAGGGACGGTTTTAAAGGTAGGGGGATATCCCGACAGAAGCACGCCTCCCCAAAGGATCCACAACCCACACACACACACACACACACACACACTCACACAGTCACAAAAGTGGTGCATTTATTTCGGGTTGTCCCTCTGAGGCTCTTCTGACCACTCTCTTCCTTCCTGCCTGCCCCTTCTGCTCTTCTTTCCTCCTCTCTCTGTTGTTTCTTTTTTTCTTCCCCCCTTTTCTCCTCGCCCTTCTTCTTCTTCTTCCTTTCTCTTTGTTGTTGAAATACAGTTTATACTAATTACTACACCCAGTACGTTGTACTATGCCCAGCTCCTACTGTTGTTTCTTAATTCATTTCTAGTAACATACACATATTTGAGCTACATTTCCATTATCCCGTTCATTTAAAATCTAAAACATTCACTTTTTTTTTTTAACTTTAAGCTACATTTGTGTCTGTGTGTGTGTGTGAGAGAGAGAGAGAGAGATGCAGTAGTAATTTCTCATCACCTAATAATCAATGCGTATATGTCCACTCACTCCTAACCCATGATTCATCCATCCTTCTTTCTCTCTGTGCCCAGCATTTAATGGGACAGTGATAACTCACCATGATTCATATACTAACCATAACTCCCACCATTCACCCAAAAACCTCCCTTTATTCACTCTCTCTGCTACTGATATATATATAATACTATAGGAGTAGCCACAGGAAGGGGTATAATAGTGTTTCTCAGACTAATCCCTTGACTCAGATGATTGAATTTAATATGCTTTGATGAGAGATATCAGAAAGATGATCAATCAATCCAATCCCCCCTCCCCCTCCCCACCACCACCTTCTTATGAATTCAAAAGTGTAGTATGATCAGACAGAATTGTGTGTAACATCTTTCGTTTGATGACGGGTCAGAAGACATCGGTGTCTTTGCAGATTGACTATTCCTTTGTTGTTGTTTTTATTTTTTTATCTCGGAGTTTGGCAAACGCACGCTTTCCTACAATGACTACCCACAAATTTTTATATTCTTATATACTAATAAAAAAAATAATTAATTAAATAAATAAAAAGAAAACAACTACTCATCAGGAACATTGTCTTACATCCTTCTCTGCTTATACTGATATGCAAGAACCATATATTCTTTTTTAATTCTTCGTTTTTAACTTTACATACAGTACCCATTTAATTTACAACTCTCTTACATCCCTTTTGTCCCCCGGCCCACCTTCACTTCTCTTATACAGTACTCATAAATACATAATGATAGTATATCACTATACTTTAATATAAACACTACTCCTTTATATTGCGCTATTTATTTCATTTTGACAATCTTATTAGGAGCTCGCCGTGACACGTAAAAAGAAAATAATAAAATTTCAACTTATTAATTACTGTAATCTTAATAAACTTTGCAACCAACGCATTACATGTCGCTACCTATAGACATGTAAATGACTGGTCTCACGTATTATAAGAGCTTTCTTTTCTAAGAGTTGATATTCAGGACGGACCTAGGGGAGAGCAAAAGGGGTTCGCCGACCCTGTGGCGGGCAAGTTTTTATGAAAAATTATCTTTACATTTTTTTATATTTTTCGAGAAAAAAAAAAGTTCTTGTTATAGTCAACTCTGCTAATATTCTGGGTTGGTTCCGTCACTGTTGATGTTAATAGCAGTATTATAAAAAAACTATAAACATCTTAATTTTGTTGGCTGAGCTAAAATAATCTAAGAAAATAATAATAATGATTGGACGAATGTATCAATGTCTACAACCTTAACAACGGTTGATATTTACTACAGAGAAAATAAAATTTGTGATTTTCATTCTGTGAGATAAAATGTCAACGTGACACATAAAAATACAAAATACACACGGTGAAATCGTGCGTTTTGATTAATTTTCGTCGTGGGGGATTTACTTACTTTGGACTGTCGGAGTGGTGGTTTGACTATGTAGATTATTGGGTTGTCACTGAGCTGTATTTCCTATGATGACTGCCAAGTGCCAATCCAATATAGGGAAAACACAAGAGAATTCACTAATGTAATTTTCAAAACGTTGAAAACTAAACATCTTCCCAAATGTGACAATTGGGTTAGTCATTCATCATAAATGGAAATTCTCAAAATCTAATGACCAAAATTCAATACTTCAAGCAGTCAGTTACAGATTTAAAACCTATATAAACAGGCTCACCGGTTGCTGCATTCCTCATTCTCACTACCCATTCTTTTAGTATTTCTTTTTCATTCATTTGAAACCATAGTGGTTATAATAATACCCAAAAAAAAAAAAAGGGCACAGTTTACCATGGAAAGAATTACCAAGCTTTTTGTGGTCTTATTTTTGATCGTGAACTCAAATTTTTTGAGCGTGGAAGGTGTTCGCCTCATGCAGGCTGAGGGGCAGTTTGGCCTAAAAAATGTTCTGATTAAACTCAAAATAGGAGCTGAAGCTGAAGCCACATTTGAGCCGGGCCCTGGCAAGATGGAGATGATGAACCAGCAGCTTACTTCAGCGTTATCGGAGGCCCTCAAAGGTTACCACATGGCTGGAACTGGCCCCGTCTCAATCGGACAAGAAACCTATGTGGTTCCGTCTGATTCAAGCCCAAATAACGGCAACTAGCTACCCTGATAGTTGGATACGATCCAAACATAATAAGAGATTTTTTATTTTTAATTCATGTATGCTCATTTTGTGGAGCTGATTTTGATGTTTAATGGTTGGAACCAAAATAATGAACCATTTTTGCTATCTTTACCTCTCTTGTTATGTGGTGGTTTTTTTTTCGCTTTTCTTTTCTTAAGATCATGTTATATACATTTCAGTAATAAAATGAAAATCGAAATGCAATAATATTCTACCAACTATTACACTAGACAGACTTTTTTGGAAAAACAAAAAGCAACACGCCGCTCCCCTACCTAAGCCGTGTCGTCACAAGTAATACCATATCTTTATAATGATACGACTCCAAAATTAAACTAGACGAAATACTGTTCAGGACCATGAGTAGGCCGCTAGTATATCAAGAAATTTTTATTGATTATGTTCTTCCCTAATGTCCGAATTCTCTCTAATTTCTTTGCTTCTCTCTTCTGCCTTTTTTTTTTTTTTTTCCTTCCTTAATCCTCTAAAATCATCTTCTAAAATTAACCCTAAAAGTTCCATTTCTTTACAGAGTGTACATCCAGCCCAAGCCCAAAATCAACAAGCCTAGGTCACAATTAACACTACGTATGATCCAACTCCGGGAGAAGGCCACATAAACCAAAGCGGAATTTAATTTGCTGACTGTTGACTTTTTTTTAGGGGGAAGAAAAAATCATTAAATCACGGTCAACTTTGTGCAATAAACGAATATTAATCTATAAAATTAAAATGGACGCGCCTAATTGGCCAGTTAGATGTTAACGCAATTCTACATGAAACGTAGTATAAAAAGGAAACTTTTAAAAATTTCCATTATGAAATGTAGAAACCTAATTTTATTGTCCACCAGTTGTATTATGATGATTTACGTGTAGTGGTAGTATTATTATATCTTGATGTATTTTTATGTCGAGGTTATATATCTCGTAATTTTGAGCAAGTTGCACAAAGCAACTACCACGTTTACGTATACCTTCATTGGTGATGATTGGTTAAATTAATAATAACGAGAATAAAATTAACAATAACAAATCAACTTGGAAATCAAAATAAGCGTTTACCAAAATTTGCAGCCTGGGACTTTAATTTAGTGATTTTATTTTAAACAAAAAACATGGTCGGTAGGTTCCCCAATTTAGCCGGCCATTTGATTACTATTATTATTATCAATATTATAGCAACAACACATTATTAGTCTTTAGATATGTAGTAGAAAATCGTGACTTTTGTGAGTTGTGTGATTCTCTCCTTTCTTTGAAAAGGTCATGTCAGGTAAGGTATAAAGTATAAACTTTCATTTTAATGTATATAATTAATGTTTTACTTTGATGAGGTGAAAGGATTTGGGTAAAAGATTGTCAATTACGAGATTAAATATTAAGAAATTGGGTGACACGATTCTAAAAAAAAAATAAAAAAAATAGTGCCAATTGTTTGAGGTTTTACACCCAAAATATTTATTCCTGGTTGTATCTTCCTATCTTTATTTTTTTATTTTTTTTTTAAAAAATAATATTGTACTAACGAGAACAAACTAATCTAAAGTCTAATCTATTGTACTAACTCAGTTAGGTCTCTAAAGTCTAATCTAAACTTTGAACAAATGTACCCTACAAAATTCAGCAACAATGGGAATGTGTTCATTAATTCTTTAATAAAATTCCCCCGTGCATGCATTTTTCTTTTGTTCTTTCGGGGAGGGTATTCTAGAACTTTCAAACCTCCGTAACAAGCCAATTGTTTGTCTGAAAACAAAAAGCCATTCCCCCCGTAGCAAACGCAATTTGCCATTATTATTACTAAATTAATGTGTCAATACCTTTTTATTAAAATTATTGTGTATTCAACTATTCATCTATGCCGTTCTAATGGAATTATAATTAGTAAAAGTTTTATTCAATTGGTACAAAGTTTCACCGTCAATCCAGCTCTTTTCATCAACAAGTCCCTTTCTCAAACCATCAAATACTCAAATTATATATTAGTAGTAGTAGTAGTTACAAGCTTCCTTCGATAACGAAATGATTTCGTAAATAAATCAATTATATTCTCTATATATATACATACTCTATAGTTCCTCGAGTCAACTTCCCCCCCCTAACCAAATTTCCTATTTTTTGGCTTTTATTCCCAAATTTCCCCTTTTGACGAACCACTAAATATTGTTATTAATTCTTACAAGCACTACTTAAGAAATGGTCATTACTCATTTGTCATGACTGAAAAAAAAAAAAAAACCTCTTTTTTAGGACCACAACTAAACAAGGCTTACAGCTCTGCTAGTTTTTATACTTGTAGCTTTAGCTGTAAGAATTGAATTTCTTTTTTTCTTTTTTCTTTTTTCCAGTTGGATTCCATCCCTTTTAATTTATTTCTTTGCCTTGCAAGTATAAATGTCAATCTCACTTCTCTTTTTCTCTGATTCATCACTTGTAGAAAGTAGAAACCCAAAACTTTCTTCTTCTTCTTTCTTCAAATTTCACCATAACACTTCCCAAAGAATTAATCCCCCACTTTCCTTCCCCAAGTAAATCATATATTCATTAATCAAATTCAATGTACATTCATTCCTCATCACTCCATCTTCTCCAAGAAAAAGAACCCAAGAGTTTCTTCATCTAATCTCATTCATTGGAAACAGGGGAAAACAGAGGATTATTGAAGGGAAAAAAAAAAAAAGCAACCCACAAACAAAATGCATAATCACTGGGGAGGGTCGTTCGAGATAAATTCCGGCGACCATCAGTCGTTGACGGAGGACGAAAAGAGCCGGAACATGGAGTGGGACAGGGCGTCGGTTTCGCACCAGCAGCATTATCAACACCTGGATGAGACGCAACAGAGTTGGCTGTTGGGGCCGCCGGAGAAGAAGAAGAAGAAGTATGTGGATTTGGGTTGCGTGGTTTGCAGCACCAAAGCCCTGAAATGGACGGCGTACGGGATCTTGATCGCGTTCTTCCTGATCGGACTTCCGGTGATGATCGTCAAGCTGGTGCCTAAGCATAAGGAGAAGCCGCCGGTTCCGGATAATTACACTCTTGCACTCAACAAGGCGCTTCTCTTCTTCAACGCCCAAAAATGTACGTCAACTCTTTACCAATTAAAAGCCCCATTTTCCTTATCATTTATTCAATTTTTTTCCCCCTAACATTATATTGATAATTCGATCCAAACTTTAAAAACCCCTTTGACGTAGTTTGATTATGCTTGGTCTTTTCGAAATGAATATGGGCATTCGTACTCTTTGATAAGTGATAGTACTTTGAATTTAGTCGAGTTTTCAATGTGTCACATACTATGAAACGACGTGAAGAAAGGTTTTGGGTAGAAAGATCATATACTAATATTAAATTAAATGATGTTATTTAATTCGAGACGGCTTTCCCCCTTCTTTTTAAAATTTCTTTTTCATCATTAACCGAAAAAAAAAAAAACTGGGCGGTACTTTTTTAATTACATTGGAGGAGTATATATGGCTAGGAGCCTAGTAGGAATCAAAAGAGAAAGGCATAATAGTCAATTCCTTAGCTCTCAGATATTGAATTTCAAGCAGTAGCTAGCTGGCTGTAAATCGATGGATTATTTGGAAAGATGGCAAAAAAGAGAAAACGAACTAGTGGGAAAGGACGCGTCGGGAGGGTAACGCCTAAAATACGTGTTCATTTGGGTTGTGATATAGAAATCCATAAACTATACTACTACTTTGCACATGTCAAAATCATAAGCTGATATAATTAAAGGTAAAATGAGTTGTTATTTCCGTATATATAATCAGAGTGTGGTCTAGATAGTAGGAACGATTTCGCCACCTAAAAGGCTTACTTAACTCGAATCTGAATTAGTCAAAAATAATGATTTCGAATATCATGCGTAACATTTATCTCGTAATGTAAAAGGAAAAAACGTTAAAATATATCTGTTTGTGGATGATGTGTAGATCATGGCTTCATTCTTAACAACCCACATGATGTAAAACCATTAAAACCTTTTGATTTACATATTTTAAGGAAAGAATTTTTTTTTTTTTTTTTTTTGGTAAGCTTAAGGGAAGATATTGAAAATTCAAAATTCGAACTCAAGAAAAAAAAAATGGTGGATCTGGGGGTTGAGCTATTTAGGGTTGGTACTTGGTACCTTCACCATGCAAAACTGATTTTTGGAAAGGTAGTAGGAAAATGTGAAAGTTTGTTAATTACTTGGCTCGAGAACGTTGATGATGATGATGACTTCGGGCATTAATTCTAAGTTGTAACCTTTTTACACTTAAATCTCGCCCAAAATTCCGGTTTTAATTGGAGTAGAATTATTCCATGATCTAGTCTTTCATGTTTTGTATTTTAGGGTGTGAACTGTGAATAATCCGCTTATATTGATGCTCGTTCCACTCATTTTTTAAACTTTATTCCCTTTATTCATTTTTATATATACTATTTTCTTTTCTTTGAGTCTTCTTACTTATTAGAAAACATGAGTTGTTCTTATAGATGGAAATCTTACAATATGAAATAATAACTCAAATCATGCCGCTTCATGTCACCAGTCACCACCTACCTAAACTAAGAAAATATACTTAAAAACGTCCATAATTAATCAGTCACATAGAAAAATTCCAAAACAAATCTCAGTCTTTAGTTGGTACAAACACATCAATCCTCATTAACATTACAAATTGCATTTGAAGTTGTCAAAGTCTTCTTACCTCGATGTGATTGTTGGAGCATACAATATGGACAGTTGACTTTGGAGTTTAATGTATTTTTTCTTTTTCTTTTTTGGTAAATGAACGAGTTTTAAAGAAATGTTATGTTTCGAATAAAATTTTTTGGTCTCTTATGTATGTGGAAGTATTTTTTTTATTTTATTTTTGGACTACAGTAGGCAATTATCGTATCTTTAATTTAAGTGTATCATTGCCAGTCACGTAAAAAAAAATAAAATTATTTTGTTTATCCTACTGTATCATCATAAGGAAATTAAAACAGTAAAGTTGTTACAGAATGACTATGTTCTCTGGTCCATAAGCTTCATGATACAAATTTAAATTAAAGATTTATATTTTGGTGCCAAAAAAAAACCTGAAATGATGATGGTGAACATGTTATTTTCATCAGCTGGGAGATTGCCCAAGGACAACAAAATACCTTGGAGAGGGGATTCAGGATTACAAGACGGATCAACATTGACTGATGTCAAAGGAGGATTAGTTGGAGGATATTATGATGCAGGAGACAACATTAAGTTCCATTTTCCAATGTCATTTGCAATGACAATGTTAAGTTGGAGTGTGATTGAGTATGAACACAAGTACAGAACCATTGATGAGTATAATCATGTTAGAGAGCTCATCAAATGGGGAACTGATTACTTGCTCCTCACCTTCAACTCCTCAGCCACAGATATTAACAAAGTTTACAGTCAGGTACCTTAGTTTAACCCCACGAATACTATTTCTCGTTAGGAAAGTCACTGTCTTTATCATTACTCAGTCCGTAGGATATGGTGTAAAAAAAAAAAAACAGAAAGAAAAGGTAGGAACCAACTAAATGAAACATTTTCTGATACTCCTAGGTGGGAACTGCAACGAATTTTTCTACAACACCAGATGATCATTACTGTTGGACAAGACCTGAAGATATGGATTACCCTCGACAAGTGCTGAGAGCTGATACAGCTTCAGACCTTGGTTCTGAAATGGCAGCAGCATTAGCGGCAGCATCCATTGTTTTCCGTGACGATGATCTCTATTCCAAAAAACTTGTTAAAGCTGCCACAACTGTGTTTGCCTTTGCCAGGGATAAGAATAGGGGAAGGTATTCCAATGGCAATTCTTTCATTGAGCCCTTTTACAACTCCACTGGATATTGGGATGAGTTTTTGTGGGGTTCTGCCTGGATGTACTATGCTACTGGAAATGTGACCTACCTTCGAAAAGCAACAGCACCTGGTGGCTTTACAAAGCATGGAAAAGCAGACAGAATGATTCCGGATTTGAGTGTGCTGAGTTGGGATAATAAGTTCCCTGCTGCTATGTTGCTACTGACCAGAATGAGAATGGTCTTGAACCCGGGCTATCCTTACGAGGAAATGCTGAAGAGCTATCACAACCTGACTGGCCTTACCATGTGTTCTTATCTTCAAAGATACAATGTGTTCAATTGGACTCAAGGTATACTAGTGGGGAAGTCTAAACAATTAGCCAAAATCAGTTCTTCCTGCTTTTTAACCTCTGTTTGCAGAGAGGCTAATATTCTGGTTATGACATTTTCTAGGGGGCCTGATCCTGCTGGACCATGGACGCGGGCAAAATCTTCAATACGTCGCCAATGCAGCTTTCTTGGCATCTCTTTTCGTTGATTACATGAATGTCACTGGTGTTCCTGGCTGGCATTGTGGTCCTACCTTCATACCAAGCCAAGTTCTCCGCGATTTTGCCACTTCTCAGGTTTGCAATTTTTATTTTTTTAAAACCTGAAATTATAACCTCAAGGATCAAGCTCTTCAGCAGACAATGTTCTAATTCATTCTCACCATTTCTTTTTCTCTCTCCTTTTTTTTTTTTTTGGTGTCGTGCTGCACGTACAGATGAACTACATTCTTGGTGCGAACCCCCTAAACATGAGCTATGTAGTCGGATTTGGCTCCAAATACCCTAAACATGTGCACCATCGAGGTGCATCGATCCCTCATGACAAATTGAAATACTCGTGTACCGGCGGATGGAAGTGGCGAGACAGCAAGAATCCAAATCCAAACACCATTGCTGGAGCTATGGTTGGAGGGCCAGATAAGTTTGATAAGTTCAAAGATGTTCGGGCGAACCACACTTACACTGAGCCTACACTTGCTGGAAATGCAGGCCTGGTTGCTGCACTTGTGTCCCTGACAACCAGCGGAGGCCTTGGTGTCGATAAGAACACTATCTTCACAGCTGTTCCACCACTGTATGCACCGAATCCACCCCCACCACCACCATGGAAACCTTGAAAGGGAAATGAAAATGATTTCTGTGGCCACCTCTGAATTCTGCCTCATTTACCATTTTACTTTGTACAAAAGCATTACATTTTAACCAATTGGTCATATCTGGATACGAATCGGACTCAGCAGAGCATTGCCCTTGTAGTACAATTTTTCTATGAGCTTAGCAAGAATCCTTTTTGTAAAGTTGAGACAAAGGATCATATACATGCTATCCAGGTAAAGCAAGTTTTGCAAATGATCTTGTTGGCATGCATTTCATGGTCACCAAAAGAAAGGTCTTGTTTCTTGAACTAATATAGTACAACAAACATGTTCAACCCGGATCAGTTTTACTTTAATTACAATACCCAAGAGTTCTAACAAAATAATGGTTCTGATAAGGTTATTAATTAACTACATTGTCAACACTTCATTAAACTATTAAAGAATAAACTGTTGTTGGAAGACTTGACCAATGGAAACTTATAATCAACTAAATAAGAAGAAGGCAGAGACTTGGCAACATATACTGTAACTTAAAAAAGGAAACATTTCAGTAAATTTATGAGTGTTGGAGGATGGACTTTCAAAGATAATACTCCCTCTGTCCCAAAATTATTGTCCAGTTTGAGATTTCACTTTTAGTACAATTTAAACTAAAAATGAAAACTTAAATTGGACAATAATTATGGGACGGAGGGAGTACATGTATAGTGAATAACTGTATTTCCAATTCAATCATTCTCATATTCAAATTGCTTGTATGAATTTCCCTTTAGGTTAATATTACTTTTCATTTCTTTCTTCCAGGAGTTATTACAAAAGAATGGATCTGATTATAAGGTCCTTAACCACAATAGCATCGGATATTTTTCAGCTGATCAATCTTCCAGAATATGCATAACTCCAATCCATCAAGTTTCTTTTAGCAGATTATTGCTGGTAGCAGGAACCTGGCCCATATGGGGCAACTCGTCCTAGTCCAGCCAACGGTGCAGCAGCTACTCCCCTTTGGTTTAACAAGCACCTGAAATGTGCTAACCTTGCTGCAACTTCTTGTGGATTCTTGGCTAGCTTCTCATAAGGTGTCCAGAGTCTCTCTGCATTAGTATTTTCAAGTTAGTTACATCACAGTGGTACAAGGCGGTTAACAATTTTTAAGACAGCCCAGAACATTGCAAAATTACAACGAAATTACCGGCAGCTGCAGCAGCTCTTGGCCATATAGTCTGTTCGATATCTGATCCATCGATGTGTTCGCCCCACATGCATACTTCGCCGCCTAAAACTAGTGCTTGTTGCGCAGGTATTGTGATGTTTGTAAGGGGCTCATTGGAATAAAAGCCTTGCCATGTTGCATCCAAATGGTCCAAGTACCATTTGTCCTGGTTGCTTACTATGCACCGCAATCCAGCTGCCACAACTTTCTGCGCTACACCACCTCCGAGCCTGTCAGAGATCAAAACTTACAAAATGTGAGATGCATATTTCGGGTTTGCAACTATGAAGACGACAGAGAGGCTCGACACAACATAGATATGCATGAAAATATCACAGTTCTTGGCACTTTGGTAGGACTTCATTGCACCAAACACCACATGTATAACCACGTTTAGAACAAAGAAGAGTGGGTCAATTTTGAAGTACACATACCAGTTGTGAACCACAGTTTTCGGGTTCAACTTGCTTCCGAAATTGTTGAATGTCTCTTCCCTGTTATCTTTGAAATCTCCGAGTTAGTATAAAGATTAAAGACCTCCTTATTGATGCAGAAAAGTGTCTGAATGAATTAAATTTTATAAATACCAGTTTATTATTTCATAGCCATGGGATAGAGCTATTTGCTGTGCCTTCAATACAAAGTATTCATAAGCTTGAGATTCACTCATTCCTTGCTGTAATAACCTGTGCAATCAAGTACATTTTTTTTAAAACTCAAACCGATGAAATGGAATTTAGCAACAGCAATAGACAGACAGTTGCAATCATTCTGCCAACAATTTTTCAGCCAGAACCAGTTCATCTTTTACCACGATAAAGAATCAATTCATCAGTAATTTTCAACCATTACATGATGGATGGTAATTTTAAAATTCATTACCAAGTAGACCAAAGGAAAATTAGGAAAAAACCAACCACATTAACCGGGAAGCAAAGATAAGTGCTGATATGAAGCCAGGATATAATCCTGAACACTTCTTAAACGATGATGGAGATGTAAATCAAATGAAACAATGCTGCATAGAGAGACAAAATGTTTGCAAATATACTCCAATGATTAGGATAAGCAACAAGATGAAGAAGCTGAACTTTAAGCAATTCTGTCAAAGAATCAATCATCATGAATAGGGTTCCCCAAAAAGTTGCAAGAGATTAGCAAATCTTTCAGAAATATTTACCAGAGAGCGACACGAGGAGTAAACCTCCAGCAACCTGCAATTTTCATAAGTTGGATATGGTTAGAAAATACCTAAAATAAGAGAAAAAGTATCCCTTTCTAAAAGAATATCTGAAACTCACTAGTATCCACTTCATCACCCCCAAGGTGGACGAATTTGTAGTGGAACACCTTACTGAAATCTGGAAATTGGAAATAACTCAGAACTCAGAAGAGCTTAAAAAGTTTGCGCAACCTCGGAAAAATGTACTCCACAAGTAAATATGTAATAGAAAGGCAATCACCTGAGAGAATTCCATCAATGACTTGGAAAGTGAAATTGTTGCTTATATCAAGAGGCTGTCTGCAAGTTCTTGATGGCCAAAGTGATGCATAGCCAATCCCCCTGCAAGTTACCAACTGTTAGTATTAGAGACTGAAACACTGACAATTCAGGAAGCTTGTCAAATGTGATAACCTGAGTGCACAAAAATAGCACAAAAGTTTCATCAACAAGATTTAAAGTTATTATGGAAAAGAGGATCCAACAGGATTCAGCCTTATCATTACCAGGATTCCGCATGTCCTGGTACATCAATTTCAGCCAATACATTAATGCCTCTTCTTTTAGCATAGCTGCAGCATTGGAGTTTAGACATTCAGGAAGGTGCAGTAAAGAAAGATCCGAAAGTGTAAAATCAAGGACAGGACACATAACTTGCCTCACTATTTCAGCAGCTTCATCAAATGTATATCTCTCAGAACTAGAATAAGCACCTTTCCACAGCATTGGATATGAAGGAATCTCAAGAGGAAATGATTGTGTGTCCACAATGTGCCAATGCAGCACATTCTACAATGTCAGAAGAATTAACTGGCTTCAAATGGGAAAGATGATATGAAAGTTGCTGTTATAGAAACATATTAATTTACTATATGCTTCCTATCTAGTATAAATGATTCTGTGATAAAACTTGACTTGATAAACAAGCTTCATAAATTTTTTATACATACCAGCTTGGCGTAAGCCATCGAATCAATGATCTTCTTTATGATTGGCACCGGCAGAAAGTGCCTAGATGTATCTGGATAACATGCAGAGGAGATTACCATCAGCATCCATATTAGTAACTTGCTAAAAAAGAAGAAACACTTTGCGGTACCCATGAGTATTGACAAAAAATTGTTTCTATATTCTTTCATTTCTTTTGGAGGGGAATGGAAGAGAGGAAACACTGTTGCAGTTGGCTGAGTTATGAGTTTATTGGAGGCATCTCACCTATCAACAGACCACGATACGGAAACCTTGGTTTATCAGCAATGGTCCAAGGAGCCTGATGAACTTCAATCAGTCTTGTTTCAAAACTATAAGAGCAGAGTTGGCTAAATGTCTATAACAGATTACCACAAAGAAAGAAGAAAATATCATGTTAGATTCCATTCTGATTCATTAACCAAAGAAAAAAACTGCTATTTTGATCAAGGATCATGAGCTCAAAGGAAAAAAGGGAACCTCAAATCCATGTAATGCTCCATAAACTGTTTGAGCCTGCATTGGAACATATATAGCTTGAAAGTTCAACAAAAGCGTTATGGAAGAAAAGTTATAAGTATAGTACATTACTACATTTCCAGTATAGATAACTTGAGCATCATTCCCAGCTAAGAATGACTCCATATATCATCATTTGTTTAGTCTGTTCATAAATTATCCTTGTTACAGAAACTGGTGTCTAGCTTGGATCAGATTGGACAAATTATCCTTGTTATGACGTTGGCCTTTCAACATGCATCTTGATCACCACCACACTAGGCTCACAATTTCATAGAAAACTAATATCTGCTTTAGGATCATATTTATAGTCTCACACACTCAGTATTGAAAAGTGAAAACATCAGCATTTTTTCAATTGCCCGCTTTTAGTAATCACATCATATAAAACATGATACAAATGCAGCTCTAAAAACTACTAACTTTCAAAATTCATTTGAAAAATCCCGTAGTCTGTTTTTCGACACAAATTCCAGGACAAAGAAGAACTCACTTTTATCACAATCTACTCATGAATGCAACACTAGACTGAGACTCACCTCAATATAGGCATAGATTGGACTCCCCTGCATGGGAACAGATAACTTGTACGATTCATCAACTCCGTGTTGTAACTACATCGAAAATCAAATTTGTTTAGAGCTAGCTGTATCGCCTGGAAATGGACATTAAGCACAATTAGTTGAAGATGAAATCTGGAATTCAAAGATGTCTTTCTTACCTCATCACTGGGAGATAGAATGACGACACGAATCCCCTTGATCACTAGAGAAGGACTGAAACCTGAAATCACTTTGGATTGAATGACATGTACCCCTTTAATCACGTCAAGTAACCTGGAGAATCCTTCCACCAGGATCCCTGAAGCATCAACATAACTGCTTCCTTCAGTCTTAAGCTCAAATCCTTGGATGTCAAGATAAAGTGTTCCTTGTCCACAGCTCACTGATTCTGGCATTGGCCATATCTTCAAGCTCTGGATATCATCAGCTCCAGCTACTGAAATCACTAGAATGTTAACCAAGAAAAACCCAAGAACTATCCCTTCGACCCTTCCACTCCACCCCATCATAAAATCCTGTATAACCACAAAAAAAAAAAAAAAAACTCGATTCAGTTTCCAAGATTTCCCTGAGCTACATTGGATAATGTAGCATCTTTATACAGTTCAACTGTTCAACCAACAAAGAAAACTTAAAACTGGAGATGATTTGCTTCTGATTTTGTGGGATTGTTTTTGTAAATAATAATACACCACGTTATGCTGAGTTTTCTGATTATTTTTAAACTTTTCTTACAACATTAATTTTCCCCATCATGTGCCAATGCATGTAAAGATGGCGAAAGAACTTAAGCTTAACCACGGTACTATAAATGTTACACCATAAGTAGCTACGATTTATTTATACAACAATAATGAATAAGCCTTTTTTTTTTTTCCGAGGATTTATTTATAGGCACCAAATCGTGGCTCGTCCCAATCCGAATAGTCAGCGGGACTTAAAAGATGAGTTGTTAGCCATCTCTGCGTGCCAAATGAAGAATAATTTTAGATCGCGTGGCAAATTAAAAAATAGAATCATAAGTTGTTGATGATGCCATCTCTGCGTTTACTCAAATGAAATTGTAGAATATTTTGTGAAGTAGATTTTACTTTTAGCATTGGTGATCTAATTATATTAAATCCACATAGCAGAAGCAAAAAGTTCAGTTTTACATGACAAGGATTACGCTAACAAAGTTCATTAGTATCGATGTTCCCAAGTTTATTTATTCAAACCATATTTACTGTCAAGGTGATTATAAGTATGATATCTACTACAAAAAAATTCAAGATCGACCCTTTGAGCATGTGGTTATCTCAGATGAGTTACCGAAACATCATTAGCCCCTTTAAACAAAGCAGCAAACATAATATGACATTACCCGAATATGTGTAGTATCTTTAAACATTAAACTCCCAACCGTAGCTCGTCCGAATCCGAATAGGTAGTTAAAAGATGAGCTTTTTGCACATAACCCATACCAAATGAAGAATAATTTGAGATCGCATGGCAATTGGCAAATGAAAATAGAACTAGCCGATAACTACTTCGCGCGATGCGCGGAGAATTACATGCCCGCTATGTAAATGTTAGTACAAATTTGGAGTTCTACCCGTGTGTATTTCTGAACTCATGTTAGTTCGATTTCTCCAGGCATGACTTGAACAAAACAACCACACAATAAGAAATCAAAGCTAGAGTAATTATGGATGATCCAACCTACTTAGTTCCAAGATAAAAAAAAAAAAAATTAAATACGGAAAGGAATTAAACTTGACGACCATTTTCAGATGATGCCGTCTGTAGACAGAGCGAAGTCTCGGACATTGATTCTAAAGATGCCAAGAATTGAATACATAAAAGCGACTTGCCTCATCCATCTTCATTTGCTTTTCTCTTTCTAATACCTCTTCCAATTTCCTTTGTTTAGCTTGCTGCCTAGCCTCAGCTGTGGATTTGAGAAAAAGCTGCCTCTTTTTATCTTTAAGCTGCCATCAGATTAGAATGTATATTTAAGACTAACCTTAATCACAGGAAGTGACTGAGTTGAACTACACTACTACAAGATATTGGACACCAAACAGCACTTAACAATAATTAAGCTTGTTTGGGAACTACACTACTGTAACATATTGGAAACCAAACAGCACTTAACAATAATTAAGCTCGTTTGGAATAAACTTTTTAAGCATTAAGTCATTGAAAATCTTTTAACGGTAAAAAGTAATCCATGCAACAGCTATGTTTATTGGCAAAAAGCATAACCATACACCACATTTAAGAATAACTTCTCTGATGTCAGCATCTTGTCAGGGACATGAAGGAGATTAGATTCTATTTCCTGTTTAGAGGCATAGCCTGTATCTCTAAGAAATGCAGGAACATCATTCTCTGGAACATGCTGAAGCTGCTTTACGAGGAAGTCCAAACCTCTAATTTCATTCTCAAGTTCAGTAATACGAGATGTTCTCTTAGCTTCAGGCTTCAGCCATCCCCTCAGCCTTTGAACCTGTCTCTGCTTTCTCTCTGCCTTTCTGGCTATTTCTTCTTCTGAAGGTTGTTCCTCGACAGGTGCAGGAGTCCAAGGAAGCTGTCAGCACCTGGTCTTTTCTTCAGCTTCTTTATCACCTTTCTGCCACTGCAATCGCTTTTCATTTAATAAAAAGACTACAATCAGGGCAGTCAACTGACCCAAAAGATGTATGCTACCTGGAATATTTTAACTTCTGACGCATAATCTGGTGCAATGTAACAAGTTTCCATCTTCAGGTCATCAACTTTCTCCCAAGTGAGTTTAGTACTGTTCAAATATGATCAATCAAAGAACAAAAAAGAAAAAGAGAATCTCCAAAACAGTTCAAAGAGGGACACTTATTAATCAAGACATGGTGGTTAATCTGTTCTGCCATCAAATCACATACATAAATGTTACAATAGCTGATAACTCTAATCATAAAATTCAGGTCAAGTCCGAGAGGGATATTACAACATAATAAATCAAATAAGTTTGTGACCCAAAAAAATTAACAATGGGACTAATAATCAGACGACATAAGAAAAAAATGATATTATTAATAACTTAAATTCATCCACACAGGCAAATGGCAATTTCTTTACTAAGAACAAATCCCTTGGGCTGATGAAGATTGATAAATTGTTCAAAAAAATTTCAGAGAACATAAGCACCCACGTTGAAGTGTGACAGGTAGCTCAGTCATATAGTAAAATCTTATGAAAGGTTGGACTCCAAAAAAATAAGCACCTGCTACAATGATGTCTTCACAGGCAACATATTTCATTGGAATCAAAACAAAACTTTAGCCATCATTAACATCAAGTCAAGGCAAGAATAAAAAGAACCGTGCAGCTTTCAAACTTGATACAGATCAACATTATACTCGGCACACTACATCTAAAGAAGCAGTTTATGTAATGAAATTCCAAGCATACCTGCGATTGATCAGCGCCTAATCGATCGAAGCCAAAGTCAAGAATCTGCAGAAACAAGAGACCACAAACAGCCTCTAATCAAATACTTACAATAATCAGTTACTTACAATTGATAAAATAGTATATCAAGAATCACAAAATAGGTGATAAATTTACATCCCCAATCCTGATAAGACATACACTTTCAAAACACTTATCTGCAATTTTAAAGCAAATAGCTACCAGCACTGGAGAACCTTACATATTCCATTAGCAGTAAAAATGGGCACAAAAAATGACATTTTAATTGGTAACATTAGATAGTAAACTTCGTCGTTTAACCCATCACATTAATTAGATTATTTATCAAGGTTAATGACATATTTAGTTGGCAAAAAAAATAACTTTATTAATTGACCATTGTAGCCTTGTTTTAAATTGCAGATGTCATGTTAATATATTAACCAATCAAAGGTCTCAATTTAAGATTGATGATGTCATGTGAACTAATGGGCCTATCAGAATGCTCAATTTAATTTCTGACCAATCATGTTAAAAATTCTAAATTTATCAAGAGACATTCACTTATGTACAATAAACAATTAATAAAATCTTTTTTTTTCACTAGGTGGAGGATTTGTAGGCATCAAATCGTGGTCCGTCGGAATCTGAATAGTCAACGGGAGTGAAGAGATGAGTTGTTTGCACATCACTCGTACCAAATGAAGAATAATTTGAGATCGCATGCCAATTTAAAAATAGAATGATTTGTTGATGATACGTTCTCTGCGTTGACTCAAATCTTTTGGGTGCATGGGCCTTGATCTTGCACCAAAAAAGATAGCATTTCCAACTAGCTAGCATCTATTGCTTGTTCATTTGTTCAATCATAATTAAGTAAATATTGAGATTAATTAAAAGACAGTTGACCAATACTACAGAATTTATCTTTGCGCATATATTTCCTTGATCGCCCACTTTAGTATGGAATTTATTTTTGACATTTTAAAATATCATCTCAGCTGAGTTGAATCTTCAGGTAGGCGGAACTATAAAACAGTACTCTCCACAAATGCTTATGATTTTCATTTTGGGATCGAAGGGATATGTAATGACATAAAAATACTACCGTATATTTATCTATTTACTTGCAGTAATAGTTTGTTATCAACATATATATTATAATTGCAGAATGTAGATTTGAGTTTGGTAGTCCTTTTTAAGTGTTAACTAAGGGGTTTTCTCCCCCCTTTTTTTTTAACCAAAAAATGAAAAGAATTTGTGTTACATTTGGTATTCCTTTAATATTCTGACATTTGATCTTTTCCATTAATTTTTTCTTTCATTTTTAATTTAAAGAGACTTTATGTGTTATATTTGGTGTTTCTTTAATGTTCTAACCTTTGATCTCCTTCCATTAATTCGTTATTTTATTTTTAATTTAAAGATTATAAACAAATAATGTTCATTATTAGTTGAATATTGATTTGCATAGTTTCAAGTATTTTTGTAGCTTTAAATTTTTTATGCGTCTTTTTTCTTCTCTTCTTTGAATTTAAGATTTCATTAATGAGAATTAGAAAGATTATTCAATAGCTCAGATAGAATTCTAAGAGTCTTGCATTTTACATTTGTCAATATATAGTTAGGTTCTTAAAAATAAAAATTTGATCACATTTATTTTTTTTCCTTTCAATTGTTTGTCCTCTACGCGTGATGAACTTTCCATCCCAATCTCATTGAAGGTGATTTCTACTCATTATTTATATTCATTTCTTGTGAAACTTCCAGTTTAATTTCTTTTTTGGAGAGGGGTGGGGGCGGGAGAGTTGTTATGTAAAAAATTAGGAAAATGATATGTATAGTAAAAAAAAAAAAGTGAAAAAAGATAGTGAGTGATGTGCAGTATTCTTGGCCCCTCGTTTTTTGTTACTTCTCGTTGAAATTTTATTTTTTCCTAAAAAATTATATTTTTGCTCTTAATTATTAAGTACACGTATTTAGTGATGATGGTGTATTTGTCTTTTCATTAGTCAATATTTCATTTCACTATGGTTTATCATTGTCTTTCTCATTGCTCGAAAAATTAATTGTAATATATTATTTACTCTTTTTTAGTAGAATCCAAGGTGATATTTGGCGGGTATTTTTTCGATTTTATTAATATAAAGAAAAAACTTTAGAACTGTATATATATTGTTCACTTTGTATATGTGTGTGTGTTTTTTTTTTCAAGATTTAGAATAGTATTTGTATTCACAAAGAATTGTGAAGAATATTTTTCACTATATATTTTATTATGACTAACGTACGCGCGAAGCGCGTTTAGTCCATCTAGTTTTATATAAGTATCTGTTGAAGTATTGAACTAGTGGGTTTAGTTTTACAAGAATTTATCCTATTTTGTTGCATTAAAAGTCTATCTATTTGTTGTACTTCTTAGTATAACGGAAGAAGAAGAAAAGAGAAGTATTTTATGTTTTAAGTTTCTGTCTCATCTCTAAATATTGGAGTTTAATCCGACTCGAATAGGATCATTACAGAATACTAGCATTATATATTGGGATAATCATGCATTCACACAAAGGGGGGAAAAGAAGAATACCAAAAAAAAAAAAAAAGAACAAGAGAGAGAGAGCCTTGATCTTTGAATATAATAGTGGTTAGCTGCATCTGTTAGTTTGATTACACATTTTTTAGGAGTCCAGACAAGCAGGTGGTCAAGTGGGAGTACGTCCAAGTACCATTTGGGACGACTAACCGAGAAATCAAGTGAGATCAACTCACAAACTCAGATGTTACAAACAAGGTGGTAGTAGTTATATATTGAATGATGATAATTTTGTGATTCATTTGGGAGATTGATATGAATCTTTTGATTGAAAAGAGCATGACTCTACAATAGTGGAAGCTTGTATCAAATTATGGCACCAAAACTTGTTCTTGTTGCACCTATAACTTACCAAGACAACTAAAGACACCAGAGATATTTCAATTCAAAGAAGAATCGAATAAAAAATATAAAATATGATAGAAAAGAAGATAGAAGAAATATTTTAAAAACGAACCTTAATAGAACTTGTCAACTATATCCCCATCTTTCCATCGATTCGGTCTAGAAGGACTATGAACTTAGCATCCAAGTTGAGAAACCAAACCTCAAACAAGGGTAGCTATGCAGTTTACAAGAAACCAAATTCAAGATTATGGATAATATTAATCCAGCAAGATTAACACAAAAGAAATTCACTCATTCTTATCAAAAATCAATAAAAATTCATCATTGTCTTCTTTAATTTCGTGATCTATAAACCCTATTTATAGAGTATAGGGTTAGCCAAAACTTAGTCCAAAACCAATTACAAATCCTATTTGTTTTGACTAATTATTTCATAAAATATATAAAATTCTAAATTAAATAATTGCATGTACTACAATTATTTAATAATATTAAAATAATCCATAGGTTGACATAAAGTTATATGAAAAAATTCATCAAATAAAATTACCCAATAAGAATTTCGACTCAAAATGGAAAAAATAGTAAAATAGGAATTTTTCGTCGTCTGTACCGTCAGGCTATCGATGTCGACGTATAAGTTGACGAACTTCTGTTTGTTCAAATTCTTCCAATTTGGGTTTCAACGTTACATAATCTTTTGATGCCAATATAACAAAGATTAAACCTAATCATTTTTATATCAACATAACTAATACAATGATCATCATGATATGGAACTACATCCAATAACCCTTTTTGGATGACATCAGAGTTTGCCTAAAAGCAACAAAGTATATAGCTTGGAGATTCAGGATGACAAGGTGGATCAACTTTGAGTGGTTTTAAAGCCTTAAAAGAGGATTGGCTGGAGAATATTATGATGTAGGAGAACATTATCAACCCTATTTATATAAAATTAGCTTTGATTTGGCAATTCTGGTGTAGAAATCTAAGGATGATTCATGACCATTTGAAATGTTTCTGCAACTATTTCTTTCTTCTTCATATGCGACTTGGTTGAACCAATTCGACTACAAGTTCTTGTTATTTTTAGTTTTTTCTTCCAAGAATTCTTACAAAAACATGGACCTCATAAGATGATTAACTATAATGTCAATACATTTCGTCAAAGAATCAAATGTTGGATTATTAGATATGTTTTGCTCAATCTTTTTGTGTATTGTTGTGCAGAATATTTTCTGTAGCAACAACCTGGCTCAAATGAAGCAATAGCTACTCCTTTTTTGTTTAACAAGAAGCTAAAACTACCGTTTTAAAAGGAAAAAAATGAAGCTAAAATTAGCTAACATCGCTGTAACTTCTCTTGGATATTTTGCTAGCTTGTTGTTTACAGTCTCACTAGATTTGGAGGTCTACCCAAAGAGAACTCAAAATCAATCACGGAATGTCATTAAAGATGTTGAAATTAGTGTTTGGATCTACTTTATTAAATTAAGGTTTTGGATAGTTCTCACGAAATCATCATCATCATCAACCTATCAACATACATGTATAAAAGGAGAGTTCGGATACTTATCATGCTTGAATTTTGGGTAGTATCTACATATGTGTGAGATATAGCATTCTTTGCATCCATTCAAAGTGCTTCACTCCTCCGCTATGGTTAGTATTTTTAATTCTCTTAGCTCTTTCCACCCTTTTCTAATTTTATTCCAAGTTTTAAATTTTCATAATTCATTCATTCACGTGCCTATCATCATAGACTAAAATGGCCATGAGTCAATCCAAAAGTTTCTGGGAGTTGTCAAGAATGATACATTGTTTTCTTCCTTTACTTTTAATATATTTTTTTTAATAATTAGTTCTATTTTATACTTTAGAGTTAAGTGAGTTAGTTTTTATGTGTTTTTAAAAAAATTCACCGAAGTAGACCCTACTTAAATGTGGAAAAACTATTCCTTACAAACCCCTTAGTGAGAATTGAACTGAGCTTGGGTCTACTCCATGGAAGTATAATAATTTGACCATTAGACTGTTATTCAATTCCCAAATTATGTAAGTTAATTTTTTGTGTTTTTTTAATCTAAATGTTTGTTTGACAAAACGATATGTGGCTTTTTGTTTGAAAACATCCCATATAATATGTGACCAAATGGATTCACCAATCTGATCCGGTTCATGAAATGGCCCTCAAATTTTGAGAAAGGAAAGGTTTTTAGCCACCTCTTATGGCCTTGTGTCTTTCAAAATCAATAAATTCATTTAGACTGTGTTCATGAATGCCTTCTTTTTCTTTATTATTTTACAGA